AAGAAGTGTTAACATGTAAAATCCTCAGTTATCATACAATGATGTGCTTTGTGAGCAATTAGGAATTAAGCTTCATCTGTACAGTTGTAGCTGAACTTTATCCAGCGAGTAATCTAAAATGTTGCAACCACAGGATCTCCAGTGTAAAATACTGCCTTCCTGTGTGAAATATAACAGGTATTACTTTACAAAGAAAACAGAAAACTGCAAAAATTGTGAAAATTCAAACACTTCTGTTTCTGCAGTGCATATATTTCCATGGTTACGTGTGGAGAAAAAAAAAGAATACATTTTAAGAATGAGTTCCAAGAACAAAATTTTCTAGGGCACTACTATAAAATATCTTGTAAATGTATCACATTCTTGAGTAAAGGTTCTTAGCAAATTCCAGTAGTTAAATACAAATTTACAAAATAATCAGATTTTCCTCTAACAGTCAAAACTACACACCAAGCAAAATGTTTACGGCATCTGCTTCAGTTTTCCTCTACTTAAGCTATCCACCCCTCCGCACTGTAAGACACTGGCTAACTGCATAGCACCAACTTTCCTATCCATATTACTGCCCCACCTTCCCTCTTTGTAAAACTTCAGTGACTAAAGAGGATAACACGTTACTGGGCAGCTATCACTGAAAGTATGTTTTATGGTTAGATTACTAGAAGCAGTAAGCAAAAAATCTGCAGGTAGCTCATCTGTTCTGCATATTGACTAATAAATTCCCTGCAAGGAGGCAATGACTCTCATAATACTAGATACACTCATGCACAAATAATACCCATTTCTTCAGAAGTAATCCAAGTTTAACTAAACTCAGTTCTTCCTTATACTCCAAACTAAACTGCAGGGGCTGGTCACTATATGGACGCCTTTCACAAGTTACTTGAAAAGAGCAACCCTTGTGTTGCTTTTTCTTTTTTCAAATATTTCATATAAGGCATCAAAATAATAGCAGATCCACCAGTCTTGGTTTAATTGCACTCATGTCTAAGTCCGCTTCCCACAAAGCTACTTTGCTCTCACGTTAACAAGACTACACGAATTCTCATATGGGTGTGCTAGGATCAGTAAGACACATCTTCACAGCTGTCAGGGTAAGTCAGCAACGTAGCTCTTCATCTCCTTGCAAGATTTGAGATTCTGACACATCGCTATGCTGACATATCTCCCGCAGAGCACACTTTCAATATTTACAGGAAAGGATTGCCTGCAGTAACTAGCCAAGCAGGAGAAGTTCATTTATAACCTTAAATAGCAGAGAGACTGACTTCCTGAATAAGGAAGTCTTACGTAAATAAACACATTTCACAATTCAACACATTGAGTGAACAACAAGTTTTTGGTTGCCTCAGGATTTGGGCAGGCAAAAAGTAGGTAAGAGTGTTTACTATTCATCCTGATAAAGAATGGGACATTAGAGAGAAACTGGTTAAAGTCAGCGCCTATTTGGATAAAAGACAGGCATAAAACTTGCACAGAATTGAGTTGCAAATCCTGCAAAAAAAAAATTAAATGAAAGAACAAAACCACACAAATTCTTAATGGGCTGGAGTATCTGTCAGGAACTAGAATCAATAAACGAAAACACCAAAACCATTATTCAAGTTACAAAACTGCCCAGAAGAACCTCAATAATTCAAGCTGGGAAACTCTTGTTGCAAACTTTGGCTTGCAACAGCAGTACCAGCAGCAACTCTTAGAGGAACCAGCAACAAATTTATATAAACAATTTGAGATGTAAACTAAAAACCAAGGAATGAAGCAAATCTTTCTGGTAACAAAATATGTAACAAAATATATACAAGAAATGTAACAACAGGGACTAGAGTAAGTCACAGTTCCGAAGATGCAAGATTACAACATACTAAATACCCTTTCCTTTGGAAGAAAACTCAATTTTATTAAACTCATTTTTTGCTTATGCCCCAAACCAAGCACCCTGAGGGACTGTTCACTGTATGGATGAATTTTAAGAACATCAACGCAGCAACTCTTCTCTTGCCTCTTCTGTTTTCAAATATTTCGTACAAGAATCGGAACAAAACAGGAACCCAGGTCAACACCTAAGAAATTATCCTAGTCCACTCTCAGAGGGTAACAGGTAACACTGAGGAATTTTTGAAAGGAAGAAATGATTAAGTCCCATGAGATGCATATAAAAAGATGTATAGTCCTAGCGCCTGGAAATTCCACGGCGTCCTTCCATTTTCTATAGTCTTTTCAGCAGTGGGAATAATTAGTTGCTACTTGTTGTCCCTTGCCCTTAAAAGATGTTCCCAACACACATAACAGAATTTACACTACCTTCCTTCACCGTCACTCCTATTCTCCAGTGCACACAAAGCTGGACAATAATTCAGCAGTCTATCGGTATCGCTCATACTCTTTCCTCATACTGCTCCATCTGTCTCCACACACATTTGGTAATCCTATCTTACGAGTGTAAATTTCTGTATCTGCAATTACCTCTGTTTGCAGTATATAAAAGTACTAGCCCAATCGTGTACCTGGCGATACTTGAGAGTATTAAGCCTATTCCTAGTGAAACAGAAGATCTAGCAGAGTAGCACTTTTCAGAACAGAGCTGGGACTATTAAAGTTACTTGGCCTTCCATTTTTATGCTTTCAAGAATATTCTGCTGTTCAAAACAAAAACTCTAACCAAAAAACAATAGAAAACCAGGCTTTTCTTCTTTCAAGTCTTTCCAGAAAAAAAAAAAAAAAGTCATATAACTGGAGCTCTCCTGGGTTAAAAAAAACCCCAAAAAACAACAAAAAAAACCCAAACAAAAAAGAAAACCAAACAATCACCCCCCAGCAATCATACTTATTGTGCTTGCAACTGAAGAAAAAATATCACTTTTTCATCAAGGCTTCACTTGCATCTTGGTACTCTTTCACAAGGACAGCATCTGATTTTATCCACTGACAGGGTGTAATGTAACACCGCTGCAGTGAAGACAGCCACAAAGGTGGTACTGAAAAGCAGAAGTGGTTTAAATCGGGAAATGTTTACAGCGAAGACTTAATCTAATCCTCACTTGATAGGGGAGGAAATAGTCACCTTTCCCTTGTCAAAATTAGACTTCCGATTTATAGATCTTTTTGACTGTGAACTGACACTTGGTAAAAGTTGCAGCTATTTATTTCTATTTTTAATGGAACCAGGAGCCTGGATGTCAAGATGAATGAAATCTACAGATGCAAATTGCAGAATAAAGCCCCAAGGAAAAGAAAACAACCAACACCACCCCTCCCCAAAAAACCCTAAACAACCAACAAAACAACACACCTGTAACCTCTTTTTCACCTAGTTTGTAAGAAATTTATTCCTTTAAAATGACTCAATCATAACACAACACCAAAAAAAATAAACCACCCAAGCAGCAAAAGTTAAAATAGAGCTGATTTCCACAAACCTTAATTCCTCTGGAAGCTACAACCTAACTGTAAGAGAAACAGAGAAAAAGGCGATGGAAAACCCAGCCCAGTAACTGGTGAAAAGCTGAGACTCTGACCCAAGGAGAGACCTCTCCATCAGCAGACGAAGGCGGCTGCGTGACGCTGAGGAAGGCAGCGAGGCTGTAGTTTCCCCTCATCGTCCAGAGAGGCTGAGCAGGGGCAGGTGTCGGCGGGGAGGTCGGGCTGCCACCGTGTCCCTGCAGCACGAGCACAGGCTGGCCGTGAGCCTGTGAGCCACACCGGCTCCCACCAGGCTCCCTCTCGCCTGCCAGCATCCCCGCTGGGCTGCAGGAGCACTGGGCCACCTCCTTCAGGGACAGCCTGCGTTTAGGTTTACTTGAACAGCCATGATGCTGTAACATAAGTCTCCATAATGTACGTATAAAGTTCTGAAACCTTGTCCTATATCTGTACCGGTTTTGACATTTGTATATTGTTGCAGTTTGTATACCGAGGAAATGACAGCCACACTTTTCATTTCTGGGAAGAAAACCTCAACACATTTGTGAGAGATAACTGTATATAAGCTGATATTAGATAAGGCAGTGGGATGACTCCTCCCACTCTTTATCTCATGCCATGCACAAAAGTGAAACCTTCATAAAAATGGTCCTTTAAATTTGCAGGATAAAGCAAAGCCACACACACAGACACACACAAACTCCATAGACGTGATTAACTATTTTTTCTTTTCAAGCAATCTCTAACCGTCTTGAGTAATTTTCTAAAGCTCCAGACTGCCTGCTTGAAACAAAAATGAATCAATTCAGAAACTAATATATTTGGGCTTCTTGCAAACAATTTTCAAAGGATATCTGTTTCTAAGGAATTAAATGTACAGAGTTTATATAATCAGATACAACTTTTCAATAATATACCACGCAAGAATAAAGTACTTCATAATTCAATTAAATTCAAAGTACCTGATAATAAGTAGTCACAGTGGCTTTGGAAAGCAAATACCTGCCTGGTAAGTTTACTAGACTTACTGTAATACCTCATTTCAAATGAGACTCCCCTCCCCTACTTCCATGAATGACCTCAACTATCTGCTATCCCATCATTTAGAAGGAATAAAAACCACAGAAGAATAAGCTGGTTCAGATGAAAAACAACAAAAGCCAGTTCAGAATTTTTAGGTTATCATTACACTAATTTCAGAGGGCCTCTCTATTTGTATCAATTCAGATAAAATAATTTATTATGAGCTGCACAGAAGATTAAATGAACTGACATATACATCATTCAATTATAAAATTTTCCAAATCAGATTCTGTGCCTTATTTACCGATAGAACAGAATACTGATAGAATTTCAAATACCAAATACCAGTTATGCAAAGAAAAATGTTTAATAAAAACTGCAAATCTTTGTAGGAATAGCAATTTTTAATAGAAACTCACAGTGAGTCGATTACAAAAACAAAGAGATCAGTACTCGATGCAGCTATGCAGACAAGAAAGGGAAACCTGGTAGATTTATCCCGATTGTGAAGACAGAACAAAAAAATAGTGCCAAAGGTAATAGAAAGGACTTACCATTCATGCTGAAAAGCTAGTTTTCAGAAACATATTGCTCCTAATATTAATCCAACAGTTGATGAAGTATGTTAATCTCTGCAAAATCAGTGCTTCAATCTCTACACACACTTATACACTAACTGGAAAGAGAGAGCACACAGAATCCAGGGAGCTGCTCTTCCTTATGAGCTCCTTGCGATACAAAAAACTATGAAGCACAAGATACCAGTAGTAAACCAAAATCAATATTCAGGACACGGATATTTGGTTTTTCTCATTAACTACTTCTATTCTGACCAGTGCTACCTATTCATGTCTAATGCAACTCAAAATGGCAGGGGGGAAAAAAGCATGCAAACACCAGGAGGTTTTAAGATGTTCTCAATTATATCAAGCACTGGTTGTTTCCATGGCAACCTTAGACCAGAATTATCTGTTGACTTGTACCCAACTAGTAGTTATTCTAAAGCTTTAATCAATCACACAATGTACTCTGTACATTATTTCATATTTCATGTGTATTTTTCTCTACACACACATATAGTGATTATTTGGCTAAATCCATATAAGACATTGCACAGTATTTGAAAGGATATCGATACTATTTTGAATCGGTTTGAGACCACATAATATTCCTTTGACTATTCATCACCCATGCATTTGCAATTTAGAGACTATGAAGATGACAGAAAGACTCTCCTGACCATTTCAGTTATCCAAGTTGTTAATGTGTTCTCTTATTATGCACAGATTTGGAAAATATTTGTATCCGTTCAAGAATAAAAGATTCACACTGATCTTACTGTCTCTATGTTCAAAACCAAGCAGCCTCATTCTCCTTTCCTTTCCCATTTCAATCTTTCAAAGAGCAACAATCAACTATGAAAACAAAAAAATCAAAACGTAGGTTCCATATAGTTGCAAGTGGTCACAGTCAAGACATCTAAACTGAGAATGAAATCCATCATTCTGATGACTGCCATCGCATCCCTTCCATCCTTTGGCTGTGCAGCACAACTGTGTTACCAGTTCAGGCTGTACAATCACACGTGCGCTCAGTCAGCTTTTTAAAACATATTCCAAGGCCTGTGGTGTCCTGAGCCACCCCTGCCCTACTGGATTCTGAGGATTTTACAAGACACATCCATTTGTTTCATACATCAACCAAGAATCCAAGGCACATTAGAAAAACTCTCTGTTTTATATATCAAAATAACAAAGCAAAGATGTTAAACTTCAAAGTCAACCACTGAAAACACCCTATAGCCACAGACCACATGGCAAATTCCTCACATCCACACTACTAGACAACTGACAACACAAACGATGTCCACCCAACAAGCACCAGGTCCTGCCCCTTCAGCAAACCCATAAACTTCAGCAGTAACTGCTTGTAAAAGGACATATATAGAAACAGACCTGTAACAGTATTTCATCACAGCAGAAGGTATAAATACATTAACTTTCTTTTCAAATTAATTCTAGTTCAAACCTAAACCAAGAAAAAACTGGAAAATTCACTTTCCAAACTTTTTTCAGGAATTAAAGAGTGCTTTTGCCTCGAACTTCAAGAGTAATTCACACTGTTTGCTATGTAGCTCCACCTAAAACCTTACACCAACATTTCATGAGTTGCAGTGATATGGGCAGAATAGTTGAGGATATTCAAATATCTTTACAAGACAAACACCAGTATGTTTCTAAAACACAGCTTATTCATTAAAATTTCTGTGAAATTAATCTACAACCTAAATTCAGTGACCCTCAAGTAAAAAAAAAAAAAACCCAAACAAAACCAGAAACAACCAACCACCAAAAGAAAATCAAACCAACAAAACAATAATGTTTCTCTTTCATTTTTCACAAAGAATTTTCACAGATGATGTATTTTTCTGAAGATATAATTAGGAGTCAGGAGTAGACAGAAATACTCCTTCCACTGTACTCCTTATCTCCTCTATCACTCCTTCGGCTACAGTGGTAGTGAAATGAGAATCTTGAGATGTAGACTTAGCCCATGTGTACCTACAGTATTTTTATTATTTTTTTTTTTTTTAAATAAACTACAAATTGAGACTAAAGGTTCAGGAGAGAGATTCAGAATTTCACCCCAAAACCAAAGCTACATAATCAACCACCATTCAGCTACCAGCTTGGTAACTCTGGCTCACAAAAATTGCATGCAACCACTGTGCTTAATTATGACTTAAAATAGCATTCGCGGAACAGCCATTTTCACCATGTTTATCATCAAGAGACACGACAGTCCATTTCCTCATCAAGCAAGTAATACAAGGAAGCCTGCCTTAAATAGAGGGGAAAAAAATAGTAGAGACTTGTACACAAACAGGTCACAATTTGTAAGTGTCAGTAGGTCAATACCATCTTTTTCTTCATGTTATATAAACAAAAATGCTTCAGTGTTATTTTTTAAAATAGATATTTACACAAAAAAGAGCTTCTACATAAACACGGTATGCCTCTATTTTTACCAGGCTGAAGATATTTCGGAGAAGTGGAACCTCAGAATTTATGCACTTTCATCATTTATCCTATCAACAAAACTAGTCGATCCTTTCCCATTTCATTTGGGAGACCTAGATTGAATCTATTTTAGGTCAGTGCATTAACACCTTCCCCCCCCCCCCATGTTTACTGCTTATCCTTTGAGAACAGATTTACTCCCGACTCATATAATATTTTAAATTGCAAGCAGGGAGATGTATAAACACTGATTTTCTTCATGGTAACACTGCGATGCTAAGCATTTCCAATAAGGCCTATTATTCAACTGAAATAATTGTGCTATCTAAAATCCATCAATGAATCTTAAATCTGGCACAAAATTATCATCAATTACCATATTGTAACATTTTAAAATGAGTATTTAACCAGAGACAATAATTGCTTTGCAAAATAATGCACGACTTTAAAAGAAAAAATGAAAATCAAATGTCAATTTACTTACTGTGATATTTTTTGAAATCTCACTTTTATTACCCAAAATGTAATCATGACAAGTTTTAGTTCATACAATACTGTAAACTGTTCACTAATTAAGAAATTAAAGCTAATGATAGTCAGCATTCCCACACTAAATTAATACGCAATAGTTAAACAATTTTATATTGTTTACCACTGTATAGCGTGTTCTGATGTACATATCCCTTAAAATAAAACGACTAATGATAAAAAGCCCTACAATTAGAAGTTTAATGTCTGCAGCAATGTCTGCCTGCTCCAAAGTTTAAACATTAAAATCTTTAATGAGTTTTCTGTTTCTGCTGAACTAGCTGATTTAATTTGAAAATAAAGGAAGTAATTTAGAAGCAAAAATTGGGGTGGGGGCCTGCCAAAACAAGTCAACTGTGCTTTAAGAGAAAAGAAGGGACAAGGGATAAATTCTCCTGCCAGCCACCAGTCCAGGAACCAGCCCCCCACCTCCCCCTGCCTGATGCAATATGCTATTCTTCAAACTAATACCTTTAGGTAAGGAATTGTAAAATTGCCTCCAGAAACGTATCACAGACCAGGCTTCGTATTCGATTACAAATATGCAAGTTCTTCACTCGCTAGGGAAGCTGAAGAGCGATTATCTATAAAACAAACAAAACCCCCTACTTACTTGATTTGTCCCATAGGACAGCAAGTTCAGAGCAATGTTGGCTCTCGTTTTCCAGAGCCGCTCTCTGTTCATGCGCACCACTCTTTGAATGCCTATGGAAAAGGCGATTAGCAAAACCTTCCAGTCTCTGCAGCGCTGTGGCTGTCCCTGTGCACTGGTTACAAGGTACCTCCTTCTGAGCTGCCATCTATACACACCGGCGACTTTCACAACAGCAAAAGGGAAAATATCTAAAGGGAGCTGGACAACCCAGAGCCACTAAGAGCTATGCATGTGTCAAGCTTCCTGTATGCAGTGTTTTCTAACCACTACTCTCTTCTACTTCCTGTTAAGAAAAGCTCTATAATGTACTGGTTTATACTGCTAAAAGTCTCTCTTCGTGTCAATTGAAAAGTGTTTCTTTAAAAAAAAAAAAAAGGCAGTAATTGCTCTAGCATGTGTTTTCACAGCTTTTTAATGCATCATGTTTTATATTTAAATATACATTTTATGTTAAAATACTATAAACAACTTGTTCAGAAGTAAAGATCAGAGGGCAGATGTATTTTTTTTTAAATTTACCACAACCATGCGTGAAAAAAGAAAAGTGACTAGTCTGCAGTTCTTCCCCTGTTATTAAGATGGAGTACTACCATCATCACAGCAAACATAGCCAGCTATAATCTAATCATTAGTAATCTCATGTTTTCAATCAAACAACTTTCTAAGCAAGGAGATTACTTGCAAAAACCACTGAAGAAACTACTATTGGGAGGACAAAAAAGTATTATTTTACTTCTTTGAAAAAAATCAGGCTGAAGAAGTTGAATTCTAATGTACATATAAACACGACTGCATTATACCTATCCCAACTGGGTTCTACTCCAAGAATGAACCAAACGCATTTAACTTTTTCAGGCATAAGGTACCAGAACGACCAGCTTTGGCAGATCCTTATCTAGCAGCATGCTCACTCTCCCAGCCCCAAAGGCAGCTGGGAGGAGAGTCACAAAGTCATGGTCACCAGCTCCTGACACTGCTTATGTAAAAGCTTTGCATGAAAGTCTCCCAGAATTGCATAAGAAAGTTTTTTTCATTCACAAGAAATTCAAGTATTTTCAACTGTAGTGTAAGTTTAGAAAGCACCATTTTTAACGGCACAAACCATAGGGAAAAAAAATGGAAAGCTGTATTTAATATTAAATTATATAATTTGCAAATTATGTAATTCTGCATGCTTACGATGCATAATATTAAATATTCCCTTTTTTTGTGAAATCGGAAACATTAGGCAGGTTTCTCAGTATATCCTCTGCACATATAAGATGTGGCTTCTAAAAAATTTAGGCTATTCTTAAGAAAGATTGAAATAACTGTTCCACAATCTGTCTCCTGTCTTATAGTCAACACGTGTTAAAGACATACCTCATTTTTCACCACCATACTTCTCACTGAATAGTTTTCAAATGTCAGCAGATATCCATCCTTGGACATTACATAACCATTTCATAACAGCTCTGTGCTTCAGAAGAAACACCATGATGACAAACTGCCTATGATAATGATAAAACAATAAAAACGTGAGGGACAGACTTTACAGATCTGGCTACGTTCCTTCTAACGGGCACTTCCAGAGTTGTGGTAATTGGCCGCAGTCAACACGGCAGTTCAAATTTCTAGACTCTACGCAAAGTACAGAAACGCCCTTTGCTGTCAGGCTCCAGATATACTCTGGAAATGTAATTTCTTTCTCTGGCACCTGTCAAAATCTGAAACCAAATCTCTAAACGCTTACGTTTTACACACCGGTCTGCAA